AAATAACTAAATAAGTGATTTGGAAAGGTCCACAGTGCAAACTCCCAAAAAGGAAAAGATATATATTTTACTCAGTTAAGATCTATAAGTAAATTAACAGTTGTACTCATTTTCAAAGGCTGTAACTTAGCACAGTTAAAATTAACATTTCCATTTGTGAGTACTTACCAATGGCCCCAGCATTATCTTAGTGTGTTACTCTTTTTGTCCTCAAACAGCACAATGTGGTGGGTATGATCATATTCCCATTTTACAGCTAAGGAAAGTGAGGCCCAAAGAGGTTAAGCAAACTTAAAGGCAGTCTGGATCCAAACCCAGGTAGTCTGTCTCCAGAGTCTGTACTCTTAAATATGCTATTGAACAATCTCACTAACGGGCATTTTCTACAGAACAACTCAAGAAACCAAACTGTTCTTTCCATGAATTTGTTCAAGATGGTGCTTCCCTCCACTTAATGAGAGTTATTGCCTCCCGAGGCCCATGCTGCTGCTCCTCTAAAGGCTCCCTCTACTGCGCGGAAGCCCATTCAGGTCATATCACCAAGCGATAACAGGGGCCATAAACCCTACCAGTGTTCTGGAACATGATATCTTTTTCTCCTGGATCCTTCTCTGGCCAGAGCTGAGCCAAACCATTCTTCAGTCACCCCATGATGAACTTCCTCTTCCCACCCAGTTCATGTGCACCTTCCTGTCCCAGGCCTTGGGCAAAGGTGACTTTTCTGAGATCGATTAGTATACTATGTCTGAGGTCTATGTTCAATAATTATTTGTATAGGATCAATGGAAGCATTTCCGAAGCTTAATCAAGCCAGAGGCATTTTCAATATTGATGGCATTTCTGGCAGCATTTCTAAACTCTTCCAAGATCCCTGGTGGCTGAAGATAGAAAGTGGTCGATTCTACAGCTTTCATTGTTCTCCCCAAATGCCCTCTGGGAGAACTAGAACACTGAAAAGCCTCAATAATAAGGGTTTTACTGGTTCAAAAAAAATCAGCCAAGGGAAATAAGACTCATCTGCAAATGCCATTAAACTAAATGCCGCTTTTTGTACCTTATAGATCCTTTCTGGTGAGGGTGAAAGGGAGGTCATTTAATTGAAACTCCCAGAAGCGGCCACTGTTCAAGCAACACATTCAGTTGGTTTAATTATTAAGTCTCATGCTATCTGGCTATAATAAAACCTAAATTATCCATGAGGTTGGGGAAAAGGAGAATAGAGGGATATGAAATCCCCAAGCACACCTCTAATATTAATCACATGGGGCCATAGCTTCTGCTTCTTTAATTCAGAAATATTGAATGAATGAATGAACAAAAGAATCAACAATTAAACCAAAGGAAAAACAAGCTAATGAAGGAACCAAGATCTCCTGGACTATCCAAAGGTAAAATATCATCAAAGGCAGCCCCACAACAGAAAACCACTTAGAACATTCCCTCCTTATTCCTGGTCAGTGTCTACAACCAGGAGGTGTAAACTGTCTGGTGGCATGACTGGCCTGGCCAGGAGTTGGCAAGCTCCAGCAAGCTGAGCTCTATAGAATAGAATGTGTGATGGCATCATGTTGAAGAGAGAGCACCAGAGATGGAAGCCAGAGGAAAATGGCTGAAATGACTGTCAGGACAGTGAAGGATGGTGGTGGGTATTGGGTTTGAGTTATGGGATTTTCTTCTATTCCTTCTTCTCCTTCAACTACCTGATCCAATCACCATTTAGTAAATGGAGATCCTGTACTTACGAAGACTCCATTCACAAATCTCCTTTCACAAATCAGGCCCTCATTTTTCTTTCAATAATTTCCTTCTTTTTAAGTCAATACTAAACAACATCCTGTCCTACACAATAACCCAACTTTGTGTCCATCAAGATACCAAGAATGTCCAAGCAAATACACTACAATGCCCCATCCCGTGGAATGTGGTAAATGTGGGGAATTCTGTTCCCCATAGATGGCAGCACTGAGGGTCCAAAATAAGACCAAGGTAATTAGTGGTGCTTCAAAACTTTTCCTTTTAATCGAGGATGATCACAGTACCAGGTCCTATTCTAAGCCCTTTAGATATATAACTCATTTAGTCCTCATTACCATCTCAGGAGAAAAGTACTGTTATTATCCCTATTTTACCAGTGAAAGATATTTTGGTTCATTCCCTTGTTCAGTTCACAAAGCCTATGAGGCTAGATTTAAACATAGGCAGATTGGATGCAGAGCTCGGACACATGCCAAGAAAAACATGATGCATCTTGTTATACTGTCCATGACTATTGTGTCTTTATGAGCATGTCTGTCAAAACTCTGCAAATCCTATTTGCAGTTACTTCTTTGCTCATCTATTCAAGCCCATGTATAGCAGAAGGTAAGTTACAACAGTCACTAGAGCGAAAGGCTTGGGGTATCTTCTAAACAAGTATAGTCAACCCCCAACTTAACAATGGCTCAACTTATGATTTGGGGACTTAATGATGGTGCAAAAGCAATTCCCATTCAGTAGAAACTGTTTTTCAAAGTTTGCATATTGATCTGTTCCCAGGCTAGTGATATGCAGTACAATGCTCTCTTGGGATTTTGGGCAGAGGCAACTAGCTGGAGGTCCCAGTCAGTGACATGATCATGGGATTAAACAAGTGACACTGCACAGTGTGTTGTGTTGGCTCGGCCACAGCGTGAAGTGGATTAGGTGTATTTAATGCATTTTTAACTTATGATATTATTGGGAAATAACCTCATCATCATAAGGAAGCTCTCTGTAAGGGTAATAAGGATGCTGATCAATTACATGGGCACTGCACAGTGAGAATAGAAAACCACAATCTAGTTTGGGATTGAGAAGGGAAACTTCATGGAGGAACTGATATGTAAGCCAAAAGAGAAGGATGAACAGGGGTTAGATTGACAGTGGGGGCAGAGGGTGTGGGGAGAGCAGTGACAGAGAAAGACTAAACATGAGAGGTCGTGAGAATAGAAAGAACATGTACTGAAATTCTCTGCAGAAACCTCACTGGCTGGGGCCTCCCTGATGGCACAGGGGGCTAAGACACAACCTATGAAACTATTTGCAGCCACTACAGCAGGGGTTTGATCCCCAGCCAGGGAGCTACCCACATGGCACAGCAAACCTCTCCTGACTCACCCGCTGCTCCCCTCAGCAGTGTATTTCAGTCAGTCTGCCTGTTCTGTTCCCACTCTGTCTCTGGTGAATCCTCTCACCCCCCACACCTCTGGCCTGTACCCCAGTTTGTGTATGCATAAATAAATAAATCTTTAAAAAAAAAAAAAGAGGGCCTCCCTGGTGGAGCAGGCTGCTGAGCACAGCGCTGTGAAGCTGTCCCCAGCCTCTGTAGTGCCGGTTTGATCCCCGCTGGCCACAGAGATACCCACATGGTGGGGCAGATTGCTCCTGTCTCGCCCACTGCTCCCCTCAGCAGTGTATTTCAGTCAATCTGCCTTATCTGTTCCCCACTCTGTCTCTGGTGAATCCTCTCACCCTCCTGCACATCAGGCCTGTACCCCAGTTCTTGTATAAATAAATAACTCTTAGAAAAAAAAACCTCACTGGCTACCCTAAGCTGATTAAGCTATTGTCCTGTTAGCCAAGATGACCTGGCCTGGCCACATGCGTTCATTCTTTCTCACACCAGTCACTGCCCAAGTCAGAAATGACAAGTTAGAGACACAGTTTAATGTAGACACATCTTAGAATTAAAATGACTTCAGGGATGCCTGCAGTCACACTGAAAGAAATACCCAAAAGGCCAAAGGAAGCATGCTTTATTGAAATTACAATGCAGAAAATATTTGTAGTTCCTTAGACATTTGCATCGCTATAAAAATTACACTTTATGGTATAATTATTAATAGTTTGAAGAGAAATAAACAGTATAAACGAAATATAGCCAATACTATGAAAATGTAAACCATATAAATCAAAATCATAAAACAATTATTCAATCCTCAGAGGTCTACTTAATATATACAGATGAAATTTCTTACACACATATACAATAAAAGCCCACAAAAACATCACTCTGAAGCTGATCACTGTACAAATATGAAAATAAATCTTTATCTTTAACCTCAATTTTATCTTCAGCAAGAGGATTGTACAACTTGGGTTTATGCAAATCACATTAGCTTTAAATAATCAAATGTCACATACGTCATATAAAGCAGCAAGTAGAAAAAACAAATTGTGAAAATGCACGAGACTAAAAGTTAACAGTAAAAAATGTCCCATCCAACATTCTTTTCCATGATAAGAGCTAAAATATTTTCCAATGTGTCAGAATACATAAAAAAGGAGCATAGTATAATTATGATTTTAAAAGCTCTCAAAGGAAAATTTGAGTCAAGATGAATTACTTGCATAGGATTATGCACATGCATCAAATGATATATATTACAACATTAAATATTTTTGTTCTTTCTGAAAAAACACTTTAAATTTGAGAACATCTTCATAAAATAAAATGTTGGCAATAATTATGATTCCCCTGCAATGCAGCTGAAAGAGTTTCAAGTAGCTTTTCTCTAAACAAGATTTCTAACCAGAGCTCTAAGTCTCTAATTCGGATTTTGTTGCCAAAATATTGATCTGGTTTTGAAAAGTTAAAGATGATTGTTTTGTCTATCAAAAGTATCTATGTAATCTCTTAATCAATTTTTGATATATTGGCCAAAAAACCCAGAGGAAAAAAATAATACTTCTCTATCAAAGATAAATCTATATACAGATGTCAGACAAATATGGAGACACTTTGGGGGAAAATAAATAAAGGTAACACAACATGTATATTAACACAGCTTTGTGCAACTGCACCAAACACATAAACATGTCTTAAATGTGTCCTAAATAACAACACATATTGTAAATCAGGTTCTTTCTAACCTGGGCTCCACAGATGCTACTGAGGCAAACGGCACTGTCAAAACTTTTATCTTACCATAGCACAAAAATAATGACTCCCCCCACTGTTCAGGATGACAATTCCCCCCCCCCCAAAAAAAGGCACTCTTTTTGGTCAAAAATCTAAACTATTTTTCTGGGACCAAAAAATGTAAAACATAAATAAGAATCCATGGTAGAGTTGCTGAGGATGGATCCAACTTTGCAGTAAAAAAAACCTGGATGTCATCTGCAAAGACCAGTGTTCTAAAAGCTACATGATGCCATGGCTATTTATAATCTGAGTGTGAGGTATTCCTGGTCAATTTTCATTTAAAAAAAAATGAATCTTGGGGAATTTGAATTTTGATCATAAAAATCATGAGGAGGAGAAAAATGGCTACAGTAAATTATTCTAATTCAACAAAAAGGGATTTTTTAGCTTATAGAAAGCAATAAATAATAGCTATTATTTAAGTTTTTCCACCAACCTACTTGGAGCTTGGACCTAGATGAATCAAAGGAAGCTTAAATCTCTCATGGAGAAGAACTGAATTGGCTTAAGGCCACTAAAAATTGAAATCCCCAAACCAGAATTGCTGACCCACCCCAGGGTCAGGCGTTGACTCCTGCAGGAAACTTGGAAGGAACTGCAAGTTTTAGGATAGAAAGACTAAACAGATCCTGCGTAAGGATGACTCACCAGGCTCAGACAGGCTCACCTTTCCCAAATGTACCTTCTCTTTTAAAGGTTTATTTTCCAAAACCATATATAACATTTCTTTCATTGTTTATTATTTAAAGAAGTAAATGCTGACACTAAGGAATGAGAACTGCATTATATTGGAGATTATTATTTTAAATGATGGAAAGGGTTGAAATAGCATGCATGTTTTCATTTAGCAAAATGTTAAATCATTCCAAGTATTAGTGCATTTTTAAAATCACATACCATAAAATTCACCCTTTAAGAGTACAAATTTAGTAGTTTTTAGCATATTCATAAAGTTGTGCAAACATTATTACCTAACTTCAGAACATTCTCATCCCCAAACAAAACCACATACCTATTAGTAGTCACTCCCAGTTCCTTCCTTTCCCCAGGCCCTAGCAATCACTGGCTGGTGTATTTAAGCAGAGGGACCACTTTCCCGGGTGTTGTAGCTTCAGCATTATATGACTCTGTATGTTTCCATTCAAATTTTTAACAGCAAATTTAAACCACAGACTTCACAAGTTTTCTGAGATTATAAAATACCTTCTTTTATATACAACTTTTTGGTCACAAAAATGTTTTCTTCTTTTATACATAAAAAAAAAATCCATCTCCCACGGAGCCTAAAACATTACCATTTTTCTCAATTAAATTCTGTTCTTGTTTCAAAAGTGAGAAAAAAATCAATACTCCAATATTAAAAAAGCATGAATAACCAGAGACCTTATCAGCTGTGAGCTGCTGTGTTCTTCCTCCCAGCGCTACAGCAAGAGAGGCTAAGGCCTGCACGGCCACGCTGCCTGCTTCACAGACAGACAGATTTAATGTGGGCTGAGGACAGGCCCGAGAATCAAGGCTAGAGAACAGCAGAGGCAGGACAGTAACCCCCCTTTGCTAGTTCTCCAGGACTGAGGATTAAGTAAATGTCACAAGTTAGCTACAAAGTCAGCTACCACGTGAATCCAATTATGTCAGAATTTCCGCTATAACTTTGATCTGAGCATGTGATTCTTTTTTACTTTGAGAGACATTTGTACATGATCCTTTAAAACTTTTAAGAACAAGATGAGTATATTTTACTAGAGGTCCTAAATGATGCACTGAAACATAACAAAGAAGAGCTGAGATTCAGGAGGGACCCCAGAGCTCAGTTCAGGTTTCCCACACTGCAACTCTCCATACGACAGAGCCTGCACTATGCACCACTCTGTGTGAAAAGCAAAGAAGTCCAACAAATTCAGTTCTCTGGAAGTGAAGGCTTCAAAGGCCAAGGAGGACTGGGATCTAACTATTGCAACAGTTCTTCATCTGGGTCGACTTTTTGGAACTGCTCAGATTGGTAATGGATTTGCTATCATCCTCATCAGTCCTTTTCTTCACTTCCCTGCCGAAAGAAAGAGATGGATTAACTCCTGCACTCTGAACTGGAAAGAAGACTTCTCACAGGGAAAAAGTGAAATTAAGGATTGCTGAAGGCCAGTTAATAAAGGTTCTGCTACATATTTCCACATTTTCTTATTTAATACACACACATACACATATGACAGGTGACAGATGAGCAATATTCATATCACATGAGGAAATACTTGGAAAAAGGAGGATACACAATTCAACCTATAGCACACTTTCAATCATTTCAAACTTCTGACCGCTCTTTAAGATAAAACACGTTCACTGCTTTAAACCACTACTTGTGTGGGAATTCATTACAGCAACAATAGAAAATTGATACAACCTCCAAATGCAAAATCTCTGCTATTTGGTTATTCAGCAAATGTCCAACTTATGCCAAGTTCTGGGACTCTGCATCAGCTGATCTTGGAGGGAGAGACTAACATCTAAACAATGTAACATCATTACAGGGTCCCAAGAAATCTGCTAACACATATGCGCAAGCATGCAAGCACACACACACACACACACACACAGCATGCTGTGGGCACACGAGTACACTGAAGTCATGCTGGAGGGCAGGGAAGGAAGTCTTCCTGGACATGGAATTTCATGGAAACTTTGACACTGGAAGTCACCCTTCAATTCATGAGGGAAGGAGAGTCCAGGTGCAGGGAACAGGACACAGAAAAGCAAAGAGGCATAAAAGAGCTTGGCCACAACTGGAAGTAAAGTTGGCTGTGTCTACAGACACTCATAGTTTTGGGGAAAGTCTGTGGTTCTGGACAATGGAGCAACAGGTATCCTATCACTACTAGAGGGAAATTGCATCCAGAAGAGAAGCGTTTTCTGAGATTGAGAGATTTTCAAAGGAAATACAGAGTCATCAGGTTGTTATGACTTCCCTTCAAAAACAAGTTGTGTTTCAGACAGTGCAAGTTCATAAACTCTTCCAGTTCAAGTGTTACAACACAACAAGGTGTGAAAGGACCACTCTGGGAATCATCCTATGAGATATAAATTGAGAACCTACATGTTTTACACTGTATGTCACTTTCTAAAGGTGGAGACTAGACCATTTCCACTTCAGATAACTACATCTGAAGGCAGAGTCAAAATCAAATGAAAGTCTTTTATATATTTGCTTTATTTGCAGTTTCCATATTTACCACATCTCCAACACAACTAAACTAGAGGCTTAAACCAGACAATAATACAGTTAACAACAATTTCAAAAACTCCTTGATAAGTAATTCAAAGGAGCTTGGCTTTCTATGCTATTCTAAACTATTAAAAATTAACTATGATGTACCCAGTGCAGCTGAAGTGACCTCCTTATCAAAACACTTTTGCACACAGGTGTTTTAAGCAAACAAACACAAGCCTGGGCCAGCGCCCAGTTGACCCAACATGGGGGACAGAAGCAGATGGGGAGAAAGGCACAGGAGGCATAAGCTCCCTCACATCTTACTGATATAATAAAAACAATCAATGCTGCACCCAGGCTGTGACTGTGGCAATTTGGAGTCATTTAACTCTAATATCAGCCCCTCAGTCACTTCAGCATCCCTAGTGATTATGTTATTCAGATGAGTGCAGGTTTTTATATGCAGAATTGCAGACTGTCAGAACCAGGAAGGCCCTTGGAGATCCTGTTCTTCAGCGGCCCCCCGCCTTGTCTTATGAGTTAGACACACTTAAAGGAAGACAAGGACTCAGTCGAGACACCACAGCTATTCAGAGGTTGATTTAAGGTTGGACTTTGAGCCTCCTGACACCACAACCCTCCAGGATGCTGGGCAGCAGCCAATGGCCATGCAGGGATGCCTGCACCATCCTTTCCCACTCTCTGCCAGAGCAGCGAATCAGCAGCTGCTGTCTGAGGCTAAGGTGGCACCCAGCTCCTGCCCAGTCTTAGGCCTAGTGTGCGCTAAAGACCTATGTTCATCTGCCTCCACAGGAACATCATTTCCACCCAGGAATCTTCAGGGACATTTTAGTAAAACAGCAAGACAACTCTTTGCAGAAGTGAAAACACCTACCGACTCAACAATTACTCCACCTTTAGCAAAATTGAACAGGATATTTCATTCAATTAATTAATTAATTTCATTAAATCCTCTCTGCCCCTTTATTAAATGCATCTTCACTGGTGTTCCCTCTGCATCCCCAGGTGCATGGAATCCAAACCACGCCCAGTCTCAGAAGGTTTGAGTTGGGCTCTTGTTTAATAAATGTGATATTAGCCCATGATTGGCCTACTAATCATAGGCAAAAACAAAAATCATGTAATTCACTTGACTCTCTACACACTTAAATATCTGCAGTTTTATCTGCCTATTCTAGGTCATACTCAAAGTTAACATATTTTTGCTTTAAACAAAAATGATTTCCAGTGCAATGGAGGGGAGGTTGCTCTGTTTTTCTTACACAGATAGTAAAGGAGAAAATATTCAAGACTCTGAGTTCAAGTTGAAGGCATCTGCCAACCCCAGACACAAACTAATGCCAAAGAGGCCACCTAAAGTCCAGAAGGACTGTTTCCTAAATCTCTCAAATGGGGCAAATATTCCCCGTCAGGTCCCAGTCCAGTTAATTAACATATTTTATTCTACTAATCTCAATTAGCACCAAGTCATTAATAGAAAAGCATCATTTAAACCACTGCAAAAATTCTCAATGGTCAATTTATTACTAGCAGAATAGGAGCTCACACCAAAACTCAAAATGCTTATAAAATCTTACAAATGACCAGGAAATGAACTACAAGTTTGAAATTATGTATTTGCTTTATCTCAAGTAAAGGTCATTGACCTAGATTTTGTTCACACACTTTACTTTTTTAATGATATGTAATCCTTTTATACAAATAATCATCTTTTCATTCATGGCAGAAAACTAGGCTGAAGAGATCCATCTAACAGATAATGCTTTATTGCCTAAGAATACTGCAAGGATTAAGACACTCAAATTTATATCCCAGTTCTTCAATGATGCAATATTCATTCTAATCCCCAAATGTTATTTCTTATTAACACCACTGCCTTAGTTTAATAACTACTCGGGTTATAATTTTAACATAGTGCTTCCAACTGGCATGATACACAATTTGCTTTGTTGAATTTATTTTCCCCATTAGCAGGAAAATAACACAATAGGTAATTATATTCACAACAGTCTCCTGTGTTTAAAATCTTGTTCCTGGAAATGAGTCATACAAGCCAACTATCAGCTTTGTAGTGACATTTTGCAGAAATGTCAATGACACCGCAGATGCACCTAGTTTGTTTGGCAATAAAGATATCTGCCAACGTTCATAGTGAATAAGCAGCATTACCAGTTTTTATAAAATCCATGCTTAATTATTTTTCCAACTACTACTGAAAGATAAAACAGTGTTTTCAATGTATAGTCATGTTATGGTCAAGAAATCTGAAATATGTATCACCAAAGTGAAAATTCAATTCTACATCTAATTTCCCAAATATAATACAAAACTTTACCGAGCAAGATGGAGAACAGCTTCCACTATGTTCGAGCCATCTTTGGCACTTGTTTCACAGAATAATGCCCCATAGGTCTGTGGAAAAGAAATATACATAAACAGATGATGTCTTAATTTATCTCCTAGAATTTCAGCTTTTAAAATCAACAAAATAAAAATAATTTCCTGTTGAGTTGAGAATGCTGAGTCACTAAGGATTAAGAAATTGGATTCAGAATTGGAATATTTAAGGAAAAAAAAAAAAGATAGTGTGAGCTTAGCCACCCCAGGAACAGTTCCTGGTAAGGAGATAATCGTACTCTGCATTAAAAAATACCTAATATAAAATTGTACATTTTAAGATTCTTAATTCCAACAGCCAAACTCATGCCACCAAACATTACCATGTCATTTGAGAGAGATAAAAATGATAACTTAAGGAAATTATTCAGGGGATTAAATATTTATCAAAAGTATGTCTCCTTTTGGCCAACAGCTGACACACACACCCTTCCCCTTCACACTAGCATCCTCTCCTGGTAAGACTCAGCAGCCTCCATGCTCTAAAATGGACAGCCACTTCCCCCTCCTTCGAGGAAGTGTGCATCCTCATTGATCTCATCACTCTCCTGCTCAAAGCTTCAATACTTTTGACTACTCTGCAAGTCATGTTCAAATGCTCTGGGACCCTATCCACCTCTCAGGTTTACCTCCCCCGACTCTCCCTCCCTCACAACACTACAGATGCCCTGACCTTCTCTCTACTTCTCCAGTGCTCCAAATTCCTCCCACCTTAGTGCTCTGCCCCTTACTCCCCACATCGTCCCGCTTCACCATGCTGACGTCCACCTGCTTTGTTGGTAGGTAATCCTCCTTTGAAGTTAAGATGAAATGTTTGATAACCTTGAAAAGCTGATATTAGCTCTTCCTAGTATAAAACCTCTGAGCCTTCTGTATTTGTCCTGCATAGCACTTCTTGCAAATACAATTGATGAAGTTATTTTTGTGTGCTTGTATCTAACCAGCGGGAGGCAATTTCCCTCAGGAAAGGGGCTCTGTGAGTGCTGTGGGCCTTACTGTAGCTTACCCAGGCCTGTGTGGGACAAGGGGAGGATGTGATGGCTGCCCTGGAGAAGAATCGTATTTGATTCACAGTTTTAAAACTGAAAATAATATCTAACTAAATTATTTAGTTAATAATTTATTTAATAATCTCTAACTAAACTCTAAATAGTAGGATCGAAACTTTTAAAGTTAATAGTAATGTGCCACAGGCAGTGCTGATAACAGACAGGATGATAACATCAAACCTTCCTGTTACATATGAACTTTTTTGGGGAAAGATTTATTTTATTTATTTATGCATATAAGAACTGGGGTACAGGCCAGAGGTACAGGGGAAGTGGGGGTGAGAGGATTCACCAGAGACAGAGTGGGGAGTAGAAATACACTTTGAGGGGAGCAGTGGGCAAGACAGGAGAGGTCTGCTGTGCCATATGGGTCAGCTCCCTGGCCAGGGATTGAACTCATGCTGCAGTGGCTGGTGATAGCTTGATAGTGCTGAGACTTTAGCCCCTGTGCCACTAGGAAGGCCCATGTATGAACTTCTCGTTTGAAATTCCTACCTCCTACCTTAAGACAAGTCAAATGGGCCATGAAGCATTTTGACACAATGATAATGAATAAGCATTGCCCACAATAAGAATCTGAACAGGAATGAGCTCTATCCCCTAAACAAATACATAACCAAATATAATTGTGGCCACTGCAACTAAACACAAACCTTCCAATTCTCTCCCACCATCTTGGGATCTTTGGCATAGTAACTTTTTGGAACCAAACCCATCTTTCCAAACAGGACACACATTATTTTCCCTTTATCTGGATTCTAGAACTAGAAGATTCCAGGAACTGGGTGAGAATGAGAAGGAAGAAAGAATAATTTTGAGTCAATGGCACTCAAAGAGGGAAAACAATCAAATGATTGTTATACTGACAAGAGGGATTAATCTTTGCTGCAACTACTTATATTCATGAAGCAGATGGGAAAGCCTGGGGTCTGGACAGCAAAAATCCCATCAGACAGGGTGGAGGGTAGTCAAAGAACTTCTTAAAGAGCAAAAGACAAAAGTAAAAGACCTTTTCCAATTTGAATCCACTCTCACACTTACCATGGCCAGTTTTTCTCCAAAGTATCCTGAAACACATTTTTGTCCCTCTGCTGCAGTAGAGTCACGAAGATCTGCTTTGTTCCCAACCAGCATGATAGGAATACTCTTGTGAGTTGCATCCTACCAGGAAGAAAAATAATTGCCCCTATATTAAACGCTGGACATGTTAGGATGTCAGTGACAAAAGCTGTGAAGATGTGGTGGTCATGATGGTCTTTTCTTGCTTCTGCTTATCTTGCAAGAACAGCGGGGTGGACTTGCAGCAATGGGACAAAAATAGCCCTACTCATTTTATACAAGAGAAAAAAAGAAAGAAAGAAAACAGTCTTCCATAAGTTAATAGGTTGTGTTGTGTTTTACAGCGTAGGCCCAGACTGTCCTCAAAATGATGTCTTATTGCCCCAACAAAAAATAGCCATGGAAGATGGAACTAAGATGCCTGACTCCTGGTTAGATGGACAACAGTCAGAAGCATAGGGTGCTCATTCTGTTGAGTTCAAAATCCAAATTCGAGTTACACCATGACGTTGCAGAAAGCAACCAATCAGAGTCTACCAACTTGCATTTTCTATACTTGTTCTTCAATCCCAGGAACATTGCCCAAAGTTCCATCCTTGGGGAGACTGAGTGGAGGCCTTCACTCCAGTCTCCTGCCAGCTGACCTCCGACCTCCCATTAAACTGGTTCTTGTCTCAAAAGCTGGTGGATGGATTTTGGCGCCTGTGCCCTCTGGTAGCAGGGTGACATTCAGCCACAGCAGCGCAACATCGGCAGCTGTCCTCCCCAGGTGTCCCCTGTGTGCCACACCAGGTAGAGATAATATCTTTAAACCCCAAAAGTATATCTAAAATAAGCCAAATATTTTCCCACTGAGAGGTGGAGCCCTGAAATTCAGAAAGATTAAATAAAAATTTGGAAGAGCCAGGGCCAGGATGGCCCTTCGCTCCATACAAACCAAAAAATTTCAAGGAGCAGGACCACAGAATTGTATTTAGTTGTGGAGCCCATATAATTTCCTACAACTTTCACTCAAAACACAGATGATTATGAGTCAAGCTCAGTATCCCACCTACAAAGCAAACATGGGACAAAAACAGAGTTTGAAAGCTCCCCACTCTCTGCTATCTGGCTTACAACAAGGAAAACACAAAAGTTCTAAAGGTTAATTTTTTCATACCAGGAGGAAATTACCAACTCTTGGAAGGAATGTAACAGTGTAATCCCCACAGAAAGGGGAGGTTCCAGGTTCCCTGCCCCACCTAAGGAGAGGTAGAGTTGAACAGGGAAGGAAAGCGAAAGGGAAGCTGGGAGAGAGGATGGTGAAGACTTGGAGGAGGCACATGGAGCATAGAGACATGTTAAGGAAAAGCTGAGCTTGCTCCTTGGCCTTGGACTTGCACCAGGGATTTGGGGGATGTGGTAGGAGACACTTAGAAGAGACATGGGTGAGAGACCCGTGGGGAGGCTAACAAGGGCAGCCTTCATCTTGACTTGTATATTGATTTTGACCTTTCCTTCTAGATTTGTCTGGCCCCTTCAGCTCCATGAAAGGTGACACTAACAGCAGAAAAGGTCGCTTATCAGGTATGAGCACCTACACTATTGCGGTGAGGCTCCTGCTCACGTGTGTCACTGCAGCCATTCCAGCACTACAGCTGACCTCCCCATGGTGCATCATGCAAAGACTAAATCCAATAGTTTCAGCAATGATAACTTGGGCTACAGATTGTTAATATCTGTGTTGGCTGGGATCATCCATTACTCTCTGAACTCACTGGTCTGCCCAAAGAGATCTGTTCATTCCTTGAATAAATGTCCCTTTTCTGTGCACTAAATGTCCCCTGGAATTCCTTTCCTGACATGAAAAAGTTCTTTTCTTCAGCTGCTATTCACTCTGGTGCTTTCTTGAAGGAGCAACTGGAAGTATTGAGTCAAGTGGTCCAACTCCAGTCCTTGTTCCACCCCTAACTTCTACAAAACTAGCTTCAAATCTCATAAAAAGTGAAAATAACATATTTTTCCTTTCTCAAATATGTTACAGAGATCAATAAAACATTGAAAAGTTTGTGAAATAAAAATATTCTTTCAATACACCTTTAGCACTTGTAATAATTTTGTTATAACACTTCAGTAAAACAATTTGTTTTAAAATGCATATTTATCATTGCTTAAGTCTTAATTCCAATTGCAATTGGCTATTTCTCACAGCATTCCTTCAGTTAGAAAAAGATTCTGGTATGTATTTCTTTTTAACAAGGTGAGAACTAGACCCAAGAGAAGAATCTAGAGGCTGAGATCAGACAGCAAATCAATCCTGTTTAGCCACCACTGCTTTGAATGCCTATTAAAAATTACAGATATTAGACTTCCTTGAAAAGGTATTTTAGTCAAGTGTTGTTTTTTCTTTCCAAGAAAGTATGCTGAACTATAGCTCAAACTGTAGTTTTATGTTGACTAGTAAGAGTTGGAGGCACACTGTGATCAAACACATTTCCTGCTTTGAAAACTTATTTGCCAAGAAACCAAGCAATATTAAAGTTCCTCTCATGAAAGACACGTATCATCTGAGTTGACCAAAAGAAAACAAAGATGTTACTACACATTCTGGAAATATCAGAGGTATTTCAGCAATATAATCAGTGTAAAGACCCAAACCACTATGAGTGTAAGGTTAAGAACATAGTTGCTGGGCCTCCCCTAGTGGCGCAGCAGTTGAGTGCTGGGCTGCAAGGCTGCCCGCAGCCTCTGCAGCGCCGGTTCATTCCCCGGCCGCCGGCGACAGGGCGGGTCCAACAACAACAACAAAAAAGAACACAGTTGCTATAGAACTTGGGCTTTGAAGATGTGTATGGCCAGCTGTTGCCTCATCTGTCCTTCAAGCACACATGGAGGTCACAATATATAGCCAATCATGCTACACACCCAACTACACCACCCTCTATGCAATAGCAGCTACTTCTTAGGTTACCTGCATGGCCACTTTCTTCAAATGCGGGTTCTGCTTTTATCTATAGGAACACCCAGAAGGTTTATTTCCAGAAATTCCCTTTCTGTATTGTCCTTGGCTTTATGAGAACTTGTCAACAATTGAGGAAGAGACCAATACTGCAATTATCACTAGAAACTCTAACACCCAGTTCTTCCTGAAGCTTAGATGAATCAAGTACAAAGAGAACTAGCATTTTCCAAATGACATACTACTCCCCCATCTAATTTTCTGTTTCTCCAATTGACTTCTTACCTCAATCATATCTATCCATTCGCGTACATTAAGAAAGCTTTTCTCACAAGTAACATCATACAGAAGCAAAACACCATCTGCTCTTCTGAAATAAGACTTGGCAATACTTCTGAATCTGGAAAAGAGAAAAGAGTGTAAGCAATGGTTCTCATCAATCAGTCTGGTGCTGCCTTATCATACCTTCATCTATTTCATGCTCCCTCTTTTCGTCTAAAATAAGACCCACTTGAGAAGAAACTTATGACTGTGAAATAGCCATCATCTGGCCTAGAGTTACCTAGACAAAGGTAACAGGATGAAAATTTGCATTACTGATTAGAAATGCAAACCATGTTCTCCACTAAACAATCCCAAGAATGTCTGCAAACTGCAAGGCATAAACAGGACAAAGTTGAGAACTTATTTTCTAACTGTCTCAGCATCAGCCACAAGCTACCAGAACCCACATGTGAGACACAGAGAAGAATGGAAGGAGTTGTATATCAGGTTGTGGGTGGGTGGAATGAGAAGTAACAACGTGGAACAGCACAATGAGCCAATCCTTTACATACACGGGGCTGAGGGAGCTCCCTTGGGAAAGAATATACTTCAACACAGATGTTCCAACTTTAAACAAACTGCCATGTTTTATTGTGTCTAAAATAGACCTATGTCAACCCCAAATATCTTTAAAATGTTGAAACTCCCAGTCTGTTGAGAATATGAACTCCACAGGGCCAGGTACTTGTGTTGATTCTTAGCACTTGAATGGTGTCTTGTACAGAAACAGGCAGGCATCCTCACCTACTTGCTGGATAATTTGATAGATTCTGTTCTCAAAGAGCAAACAAGATTAAATCCTATCCTTAATGCTTCTGGTCATCAGCAATGCAAGCAAAACACGAAAGGCACTGTCACCAGACGCCAGTCTGCTATTCAGTTTGTGCCTCTGTCCCTGAACTCAAAGGAGCATCTCTGTCTTTTATTGTTTCACAACCATACAGCTCCTCACACCACCACTGCATTCAGGAGTGGCTTCACCTAAATCCTCTTATTAGGAAAATACAGTCTCTTTTTCCCTACTAAACATCAGCTGAAAGAAAATTTAAAGATCCTCTTTTCACATAACTGATGCATAAATGAAGGAGGAAAAGATAAGCACTCCTGAATTCTTTTACACTATATAACCACAGAGCATATAATACTTATGTAATAATAAGCACCCAAAACACCAAGTGTCCACAAGGCCTGTCTGCACAGACATGGGCAGAGCCTGACACTGGAGGAAGCACTTGCCTCTCCTGGCCAGCCGTGTCCCAGAGCTGCAGCACTGTTTTCTCTCCATCCACAATAAGAGTTTTCATTTGAAAATCAACTCCTAGAGAGGAATAGAACATGCAAAACATGATGTAAATAATCCCACCTTTTTACTTCCAAGCCCTCTTTAGATGTGACAGAGCCAACAACTCAAAGCACAGCAAGGTAGAGAGGCAGAACATGGTCTTTAAAGAGAGCGACCTTCAGACACTAGTCACACGTCAGGCCACAGATGCGCAAGGATGCACCAACCACAGGCTGGCTGACTTGGGAGGAATTTGATTATAAACAAAATGAAAATCTATGTTCTATGTGCTCATAATTAGAGGAGCTCAGCTATACCTGTGTGTGTGTACTGTGTGTACATGTATGAGTATGTGTGCATGGAAAAGCATATAATATGCAGACATGCCATACCCCCAGGCGACTGAACCAAACTCTGCACTTTTTATTAATCAAATTGTAGTGACCTTTCAGCTTTGTTATCTTAAAGGGTATAACAGAGAAGCACACATTTACAAAGATGCCATTACGCCATTGAGAAGAGGGTAATCAATCTGTTCTAATATTTCAGGTTATCAAAAAAGAACTCTGTAGCTGAAGAAAAATAAATGATAATTTGCATGTCTTCAACTCCTTTCATTGATTATTATGCAAATTTGGGAAATCAGGATAATACTTATTTCCTTGTTCTGGAGGTATTAATTTTGCATTTCTGTGGAGGAAGGAGCATCCATACATCAGGCTATGATTTTGTCCATAATGGCAAACCAGTTGTCAATGATGTCACTTTATCAATATCACACAATACCTATCAAAAAGGCTTTCTCTCATTTTTAAAATTTTTCATTCATTTCCCTCCTTAGAACTATAAGTTCCCCACAGCTGAGATTTGGGTTATTTGGCTTATTAATATCTGGCTCTAATAGGACTCAGATATGTTTGGTCCCTAAATGAATCACTACCTTCAACTCTGAAGTCAGTTTGGTTGATCTGACTGAGCACAATTCTCTGTCCTGTGTCAGTCCTCCTGCTATAAAGTTGGCGAAAACAGAAGAGTACCATTCTAAAACATGGCAGGCACACAGAGACAGACAGGTGTGCATCTGTGCATGTAATGCCTAAAGAAGGTAAGCACAAGCTAACAAAGGCATTTTGCTGTCACCGACTGAAAAAGGATCCATACCAAGGGTGGCACTTGTATTCCCTCGAAATTCATTCTTGCAAAGTCTCATGAGGAAACTAGATTTCCCCACTGCAGCATCCCCAGCAAGTACAATCTTGTAAGCCTTCTGTGAGCTAGAAGATTTCTGGTTGTCATCTACTATGTCTGTCTAGTAGAAAAAAAGTCACAGTGGGTGACAAAGGCAGTATCAAGGTTGTTTTTTTTTTAACTAATAAATAATATGGCAGAAAAGTAGCTTTTGTGGAACAAAGAGAAACCACTTACCTGTGGTGAAAGTGCTGAGATGGGCTTTCTGGAAGAACTAACGACGCTGCCTTCGCTAACAGAACCCTGGGGCTTCCAGTCTAAGATAGAAGCCACACCGTCTGAACCATATGTCTCCTCATCCCTAATATCAGGTACCTGTTATTTTAAAAAAAAAGTCATTAAAAAACTATTTAAATAAGAGTCATTATATTATACATTTACATCATGGATTGATGAGAAGAAAAATCTAAATTTAAATATATAGTTGATGCTATTATGGAAAGGAGGGGCCCTCACAACGATCTGTGAGAATTTCTCCCTAACTTTGTGGGGAAAAAAAAATTCTACTGACTATGCTTCATATTTGTGACCTTTCAGATGGAGTCCCAAAGCAGACAGCAGTCAGTCAAGGTGACAGATTTCTATCAGAGATAAGGCCCAGGAGAGCAGTGATTTCTGGGGCTTACATCTGTATCTGAAGCATCACCCCCAAAGTTCTCCTGTGTGCCGTGTGACCTCTGAAATCCCCGCTGGTGCTTGTATTCCACCTCCGAATCATACTCATTATAATCTCTCAGGGTAGACAAGCCACTGTCGAAGCAGCTCTCAGGCAGGCTGTCAACTTCATAATTCATCCTCTGCATAGGATCACAGAGGGCCAATGAGTCACAGTCCTCATCCACATAGGAAGAGCGGGATGACCTGGTGGCAAAGGAGAAGTCCACGTTACAGGAGGACACGCAATGCTGGGACAGCACAGGCAACAGTCAGACAGCAGAGGAATCCCAATGCCTGACATTCTCACCTTTGCCAGGAGGGGTCAAAACAGGGAAGGGAAGAGCACAAGGGACTGGGGGTGATGGGTCATGGGTGCTGTGGTGGTGGGAGACCTATGGGGACTACACCTGAAGGGAGAAGTCAAATACTGTCCAAAAATGAACAAAAATATTAAGAGATAGATAAATAAATGTAATTTTAAAAATAGGGCTAATTCTTACTTCTGATAAGCCTCTGTAATTCCTTCCATACAGAAACTCACAACATGCACTATCCATATTTCTATTTATTTTGAAAGTTTCCTTTTAGAAGAGGATTGAGGAGGGAAGATGACAGGACACTGGCACTGAGCCCTGAGGGAGGAGAGGTGAAGCAGGTGCACATGTGCGGGTTGGGGATGTTGCACACCCCAAATTATATAGTTATGTAAAATACTGGCAAGACAATAAAATTTTTTTTATAGAGGCATGTTTTATTTTATTTTTATTTATTTATTTGTTTGTTTGTTTTGTTTATACATGCACTGGGTACAGTCAGAAGTGCGGGAGGGTGAGAGAATCCACCAGAGCCAGAGCGGGGAGCAGAGCAGGCAGAAGGACCGAAGTACACTGCTGAGGGGAGCAGCGGGCGGCAGGAGAGGTCTGCGCGCCACGTGGGACCCTCCTCCGGTGGCCGGGGAGCAGCCGGGGATAGAACCGGCGCCGAAGAGGCCGCAGGCAGCTTCGCAACCCAGCGCTCAAACGCTGCGCCACCGGGAAGGCCCAAGACAATAAAATTTGAGGGAGAAAAAGAAAGTTTCCTTTTCTTTGAACATAATTTACATAACAGTGTGCTGAACTATTAAACATTTACGGATTAGGCCAAGTCTCAACATCAGATACCTCACATTCTGCAACATCACATACCATGGTGTCACTAGTTCCCTGAAACCTCACACACTGAGTCCACTTCTAAGAAACAAGACATGATTAGGGATGAGGTAAAGGTGAGATTCATAAAGCCAAATTTGATGACATCAAGAAATCAATTTGCCCTCTGAAATATTTTCACTTTAATCTTTATAAGCTTCATGTTTCATAAATTTAAAACAAGATAGTAGAAAATAGAAATTAGTGCCCAACATAAATAATTCAACACTAAGAAAATTTACTTTCCTTTAACTTTGATCCAGAATTCAAGCAAAAAGCAGGTGCTAACATACCTGTCATAGCCCAGAGTGTGAGGAGACTGACCATTACATTTGGGACTGCTCCTAGAAATTGTATTCCCTGGTGATGTATTATTTACACGCTGTAATACATAAGTAATATCATGTTATTCCATGTTAACATTTGATTTATATAGGTACTACATATAAAATATTAGATAGATAGACAGATAGATAGATGTTAAACTGTAGCATACTAGTTAAAACTTTGGAATCTCACATGAGCAAATATGAGCATGAAAATCAAGAAAAATCTACAACAACAGGACTTCCCATGATACTCTCTTCTCGTATCTTAAGCCCAAACCATATGGCAGAAGTCATAAGGGGGCCTCCTGGTTCACCAGATTTGCCATGACCTTGCAATACCAACGTTTTTAGATTTGTCTCTTCTTGAACCACAAGTTGACTTAGTGATGAGTTAGTGTTTTCACCTATACACAAAGCTACAGCACTGGAACTCCACAATAGAAGTTGACCTCCAACAGTGAGAAAAGAGGTTTTCTCCCACATGTCCTCAAAATTTTAAATGGGGCCTAGCTTGTTTCTGTTGATGGGTTGAAAATCCAAGCCTCCACTCTGATAAACTCACTCTTAATAAAGAGCACTTGATGTGCCTACAACACTCCTATTCAGAGACACCTCTCCCTCCTCTCAGCAGGGCAACATTATATTTGTGGCATGTCCCTCTCTTTCTTGTTACTACCATCGGTGCATGTCTGAACTCCCCACTGCAATATAAACTCTTCCAAGACACATGTCACATCTATACATCTTTCTCCAGTTTTCTAGAACATGGAACAAAAGAGCTGGCTAACATCTAGGTGTCGGTCTCTGCACAGAGGTAGCATATTTTTTAATTTGGAAAAATGCTGTCTCCTTTTAGCATAAAGAACAGCTTCTCATTACTACAAGGATCTACATGAAATTCTCTTCCAAAACCACAGGTTTTCAGTACCACAAGAAAGAGCAAAAGTAACATAAAGTTATACTGCATACCAGCGATCTGTTTAACTTGCTGTAACTGTTTTCCAGGGCACTCCTGAGGCCGTCATTGCTGTCATGCAGTTTCCGGTTAGCTGTTCTATGGACAAAATCAAAGACATAAGCAGATAAGGAAGAATTTTGCGGGGGTAAATGCACTACTTTCTTTTCATGCTGTGTGATTTAGAATATGGATTTACCACTTCTTGCAACTTTCTACCATTTCCCATCAAACCTCATAAAATAGATCATAACCGATCACTAGAAGTGATGTAACTGATGTATCCCCAACTCTCTCTAAAGATTTCAAGGCATTTGAGAGGGAATGAACTACCCAGGGTAACCCACTTCTCCCTCAGGTAGCCCATCTCTGCTTCCGAAACAGCTGAACCTGCCAGCCCCCAAGCTGCTCTCTGTCCTGGCAGCCAGGCCTAGTGTGGCGTGCTGCTCCCACATCTGCATCTGCATCTTTCATGACTCGATGCTGTCCCAACCAGACAATGTCATGCACCAGTCACAGGCTGTGATGCCAACACTGATTTCAAATCCCAAATCAGGCACTTACTTTTTGTCCTACAAAAGTCACTTTATCTGTCAGAGTCTTGGCAACCTCCTCTATAAAATCAGGGCTTAGACTCTGCCTTATAGAGTGATCAATCTTTCCTAATTAAGTTTTATTCATCCTTTAGATCTCAGATCAATGTTGCCTCCTCCAGGAAGGCTTCCTAGACCTTTCTGGCTAGGAAGAAGTTTCTATTATATGCCCTTAGCGGACACATTTCTTTTCTTTGCTCACCTCATTCATTTGTCATTTTATATTTCCATAACTATTGATGAATTTCCATCTTTCCCTAGACTAACCCCACAAGGAAGGAGAACTTTTCTCCTACTTGCCACTCTACCCTCAGATTCTGTAACATCTGACCCACACAAGGTGTTGAATGAGAACTGCTGAATGAATAAATGAATGAACACATTATTGTAGCACATCATAGCTACAAAAAAGCACATATAAGATGCAACACATTCAAGAATGACAAAAATCAATTTGTCAAGCCTGACTATAATTCACATGGGGGCACAGAACCCTGAAGAAAATACTGTAGGAGAAAGGAGAGAAAGATGTGGGGTGGGGATGGTTTTGTGGGGAAGACTCTTAGAGGATGGAATTACTGCAACTTAGTTATGAGATGAAGAGAGAAGGTACAGCATTTCCAGTGGGGTCAGAAGCAAACAAACAGATAAAAAATAATGCACCTCTACTGAAGCACAGTAAATTGAGGAAAAATGCCTGTGACCACTTTCCTGCAGCTGGGTACACTGTGGGGTGTCTCGAGTTTAGGGTGCTGTCTTCACAGGGGTACAGTGAAAACACACAGACACATAGCCTGGCTGGCAAGGATTTTTAGAGAATTAGACTCTATTTTCTGGATTTGAATAGTTTCTTTAGGATTAAAAGCATCAGAAAACTGCATGTATGTGCTGAATGCACCAGGGTGAGAAGAAATACATGTGGAACCAAGAACCCGGGCTTCAGAAACTGGCAACTTGTGTTGTATGTGGCACTTGTTTTATTAACAAGAAAATAAGTAAAATGCAAAATGTGATGAGCATTTTATATGGAACTTACTGGAGTATTTCAATTTGCCTCTCAAGACTATTTCGATCTTCCGTGTACTCTCGGATTATTTGCAGATCCCTGTAAAATTATATTTTATGTTTGAATGAGAATTTGTTGTTTGGCTGCTCCTTCCTCTGCACTTACCCTCCCAGACCATTATTCACCTGTTTCAAAGATGCATGTCCTTGGCCATGCTTTTCTGTCTCCCTGTGCTTTTGCTGGGTTTTTCTGTGTGTCAGCAATCATCTCTCTTCCTGTGACCCCATAAGCATACCAACACCCTCATCCCATCTCAGCACCCACGGCACTTCTGTCCACACCCCACTGACCTGGTTCTGTTCAGCACTGGAACTAGCGAGCTCATGCTAAGCACCCTCCCTTTCCACAAGCTCATTATCAGCCCCTCCAGTCCAATTCGCTTTCTCACCTCTGACCCTTCTCTGTTCAGTGCAAGCTTCATACAATCCCAACCATAGCTATTTGTCTTTCTTATGATTCCTTCTTCTCTCCTTGTCACTAATTCTGTTCTCTTGTCTCTACTCCCCCTAAACTACAGAGGGATTCCCCAGACCAGGCTTTTTCAGTTCATCATGAACTAACACTCAGTGATTTATTTCTGATACTCTACTATGAAGCCCTGTCCTCCTCTTCAAAAGATCTACTGAGAACACTTGCCACCCACCTCCAGCCCATTTCTAAGCAAACAAATCCCATCACCAGCTTTCCAAAATTCAGGTTATCAAATTTTGTTCAAAATCATCCATCCATTCACTCCCTTGAAGCCCTCCCTATTGTTTGCAGGAACTTAAGATCCTTAGTAAAAAGTTCTGGGTCCTGGGCCTCCCTGGTGGCGCAAGGGGTTAAGATGCAACCTATGAAACTGTCCGAAGTCACTGCAGCATGAGTTCAATCCCCTGGCCGGGAAGCTACCCACATGGTGCAGCAGACCTCTCCTGTCTCGCCTGCTGCTCCCCTCAGCAGTGTATTTCAGTCACTCTGCCTGTTCTGTTCCCTGCTCTGTCTCTGGTGAATCCTCTCACCTCTCATAGCTCTGGCCTGTACCCCAATTCTTGTATGCATAAATAAATCTTAAAAAAAAAAGTTCTGGGTCCTTACAGTATAGTCTTAAACTACTCTTTAAACTTAACTTTTTTTTAATGTTTCATCTTTCCTTTCAGAATATATATATATATATATATATATGCACGTACATATACATGCATATATATATATATATACACACATTGTATTCTGAAAGGTGCTCAATATATATACAATGGTGCTCAATATATATACAGTGTATATATATACATCTTTTAAAAAGATTTATTTATTTATGCACACAAGAACTGGGGTAGAAGCCAGAAGCGTGGGAGGTGACAGGATTCACCAGAGACAGAGTAGGGAGCAGAACAGGCAGATCTACTGAAATACACTGCTGAGGGAAGCAGCGGGCGAGTCAGGAGAGGTCTGCTGCGCCATGTGGGTAGCTCCCTGGCCAGGGATCGAACTTGTGCTTTAGTGGCTGTGGACAGCTTCATAGGTTGTGTCTTAACCCTTGCACCACCAGGGAGGCCCTATATATACATTTTTTTTTTTTATCCAGTGATCTGACCACTGTTCCCCAAACTCAGACTTACCCTTTCTGTGTTCCTGCCACTTCTTTGCTTATGCCTCACTTGGAACATCTCTGAGACTCTCTTTTCCCATCCATGAAATGGGGATAATGAAAGTCCCCAATTTGTAGAATATTTTGTGGGTTGAAGAGTCAGTGCTAGTGAAATGCTAAGGAGAGTGCTAGGCAGATGGCAACGCCATTCATTAATTGCTTTAATTTAACTAATTAGTAGCTGATGTCGCCCGTGTTCCCTATCCCAACATAAACTAGCCTGCCTCCCAATCTCACCTCATGTGTCTCCTCTTTAATAAAGTTTTTTCTCCCTTTTTTGAACTAAAAACATTGTCTACTATCACATGGCAGTTAACCCAGAGCATGACACTACTGGTGGTCTTGTTTCTGACATAGTTTAGTTCCTAGAGTGTTTAAATCTGTAATGTTCCAAATAAATTTGAGGTTTTCAAAGAACAGAGCAGAGACCTTGTTTTTCCTTTTTCACATACTCCACACTCTTAACTCCTTGTTTAGCTCAGGGACCTGTTTAGAGTAAGGACTTAATAAATACTTCTCTTCTTCACATTTTTTGTTTGTTTGCAAATAAAAAAAGATGTTTTTCCCAAATGTACATGTATGTATATATTGATATGAATATATATACACAGATGTTAATATGCATATATGCAAATGTATTTATTTTGTATGCATATATGGATATACATAGTGTGTATTCTATGTTTGCATACATATTCATTGTCTATTTACAGATCCTTAAGTATCTATGTATACGTATACAAATATATGTGTGTGTGTTCTTATTAATACCATACTGCAAAACTAAAACACAGGAAAGTAAATTGAATACCTAAGATGGCTACTTTTCCCTTTTCTTATATTGTAGGGTCAGGAATATTACCTTCAAAGCACTTTAATTAGCACTGACTCTTGACATCAACTTTGCGTATATTTTCTGCTCCCAGTTAATTCAAACATTTATTAAGCCCTGTACTATCTTAAGCAGCCAATAATGAAACTAATTAATCTGTTTGTTTAAAAAAATTAAAAACACTAGGGAAGTGACACTGAAAGTGAAATCCTTAGAAAGCAAAGTTAATAGACAACCTTTAGTATATATCTGAGTTTTATTCCCATGAATGGCCCTCTAAATAAACATTTCACTCAAACCAAAAAATAAGATATGAAGTATCATACCTTTCAGAATTCAGAGTCTGATCAGCATAATCACTTTTCAAAGCATCTAGTTCACTCTGAAGAAAGGCTATATTTGTCTGTGCTTCTAAAAGATCTTTCTTAACTTTCTGATTTTCCTAGAGAACAGGGATAATGCAGGCCTTTAGATTTGGGAATCTTCAACACAAAATCTCCCCCTTTAGAAGACTTCAAACCTTGGTATTCAAAGAGCTAATTTTCAAAGCAAAGTAATTTGAAATTATTGTAAATTATTAAAGAGTCAAAAATCAAAATCCTCACAGTTGTTTTTTAAATTTTTTTAAATACTTGACATTTGGTGCTAAACTACATGTCAACAGTTTATCGTGATATTCTTTAATATGTTAAAACATAAACACTTAAACCTGAGACTAAACACTTAAACATCTGTTTTATTTAATGAGAATTATGAAACTACTGATAAACATTCTCAAGAACTGATAGTATCTAGTACCATGTAGCCTGGCTCCATCCTACCACCTGACATATTTAAGTTTTGCATTTAAATATTAACCATTGTAGTTAGGAAATTTCTATTTTTCTTAAAAGAAAAAAAATCATTGGAGCCTTCCAGTTCAAGACAGTGGACAAAACACATCAGTGAGTCTGTCTTCTTCCCATTAACATGAAATTCCAAAGGAAATAATCAAGAATGGAAGAGGTGTCCACCATCGGTCAAGTGTTTTAAACATATTTTAGAAAATTGAACTATATAGAAATGTACTAACAAAAGGAAATAGTAGTCTGACTGAAAATACATTTCTGAAAGTAATAATTCTTACCATTGATAAGTCATAAATTTTTTTCTTCAATGCAGCCACATCTTCTTTTTGACATATATGTTTGGATTGTTCTTCCAGCTGAAAGATCAAATAAAAGTGTTTTAATAAGCTCACACTGAATGAATTCAGTTAAGTTCAGAAATATCCTTGCATATAGACATAGAAATTCTAGAAGTCTTCAATTTTCAACATCACACAACTTTGTAAATAATTAAACTACATATACTTCAAAATGATTTGAAAGTCTGCTTAAATAATTTAAGCATTTCAAAAGGGATTTTATTGTTTAACAAATTTTCTTTGAACAACTGAAATGCCCTTTTCAGAAACCATCCAACTATTAAGCAATCCAAGAATCATTTGTTTTCATTTTGTTGCATTTGAATCTGAACCTTTAAATTCTCCTAGAACTTTATCTGAACTTTCTATGCTGTATTTTTTAATTAATTTTATTTTTTACATCATTGTTCATTTTTAAACAATATTTGCTCCCCCCCAACCCCTCAGGTGTAGTCCCCATAGAGTTTCCTTCACCAATGCACCCGTGCACCATCACCTCAGTCCCCTGTGCTCCTCCCTCCTTCCTTCCCTCTGATCCCTCTCCCTCCTCCTCCCCTGCAGGATGTCTCTGGTTTATAATTGTCTGTTTTTGCTTTGCTGTGTTTTGTACTGTTATGATTTTTTTTAAAGATTTATTTATTTATACAAGCACTGGGTACAGTCAGAAGCACAGGAGGGTGAGAGAATTCATCAGAGCCAGAGTGGAGAGCAGAATAGGCAGAATGATGAGGTACACTGCTGAGGGGTGCAGCGTGGCCCGAGAGGTCTGCGTGCCATGTGGGACCCTCACCCAGTGGCCAGGGATCGAACCGGCACTGCAGAGGCTGCGGGCAGCTTCGCAACCCAGCACTCAACCACTGCGCCACTGGGGAGGCCCCTGTACTGTTATTAATTTTTTACACTGATGTCTCATTTGGTTCCCCTATATTCCTGCTATAAGGGAAACCATCTGATATTTTTCTTTTTTCTTCTGGCTTATTTCACTGAGCATAATTCCTTCTAGCTCCATCCATGTTGCTGTGAATGACATGAGTTTATCTTATTTGATTGCTGAATAATATTCCATTGTGTATATATACCACATCTTCTTGATCCAGTCATCTATTTGTGGGCATTTGGGTTGTTTCCAGGTTTTTTCTATTGTAAACAGTGCTGCAATAATCATAGGGGCACAGGTGTTCTTTTGAATCAATGTTTTTGTGTCCTTTGGATAGATCCCTAGGAGTGGAATTTCCAGGTCATATGGTAGCTCCATTTTTTAGCAGACAGAGGAACCTCCAGACAGCTTTCCATAGTGGTTGGACCAGTTTGCACTCCCACCAGCCATGTAGGAGAGTTCCTTTTTCACCACATCCTCACCAACATTTGTTGTTGCTTGTTTTTTTGATATGTGCCATTCTTACCAGTGTAAGGTGGTATCTCAATGTGGTTTTGATTTGCATTTACCTGATTATAAGGGATGTTGAAGATTTTTTCATATGCCTGTTGGCCATTTGCATTTCCTCTTTGGAGAAATGTCTTTTAAATTCTTCTGCCCATTTCTTGACTGGATTGTTTATTTTGTTTTTGTTGAGAAGCTTTTCAGTTTGATGTAGTCCCAGCTGTTTATCTTTTCCTTCACTATCTTTGCTTTGGGTGATGAGTCTTTAAAGATGTTATTGTGATGTATGTCTTGTAGTGTTTTACCTATATTTTCTTCTATATATTTTATGGTTTCAGGTCTTATGTTCAGTTCTCTTATCCACTTTGAGTTGATTTTTCGTGCACGGTGAGAGGTAGTGGTCTAGTTTCTTTTTTTTGCGTGTGGTGGTCTGGTTTTCCCAGCACCATTTATTGAACAAACAGTCCGTGTTCCATTGCATGTTCTTTGCTCCTTTGTCAAAGATCAGTAATCCATAAAAGTGTGGTTTTATTTCTGGGCTCTCCATTTGGTTCAGCTTTTCACCATTGAAAATAATATTGGCAGTGGGTTTGTCGTATACGGCTTTTATCATGTTAAGGTATGTTCCTTCTATCCCAAGTATTGCAAGGGCCTTCATCACAAATGGATGTTGGACTTTGTCAAATCCTTTCTCATCATCTATTGATATGATCATATGGTTTTTATTTTTCTTTTTGTTGATGTGCTGGATTACACTGATCGATTTTCGTATGTTGAACCATCCTTGTGTACCTGGGATGAATCCCACTTGATCGTGGTATATTATCCCTTTGATGCATTGTTGAATTCTGTTGGCAAGGATTTTGTTGAGGATCTTTGCATCGGTGTTCATTAGGGAGTTGGCCTATAATTTTCTTTTTTTGTGCTGTCTTTGTTTGGTTTTGGTATTAGTGTAACGCTGGCTTCGTAGAACATATTTGTTGGTAGTATTCCTTCTTTTTCAATTTTTTGAAAGAGTTTGTGTAGGGTAGGCACTAATACACTGCTGAATATTTGGTTGAATTCATTTGTGAAGCCATCTGGACCTGGGCTTTTGTTTTGGGGGAGTGCTTTGATTACTGCTATTTTGCTGCTTGTTATTGGTCTGTTTAGTTGTTCTATTTCTTCTTTGTCCAGCTTTGGGTGATTATATTGTTCTAGAAATTTGTCTATCTCTTCTAGGTTGTTGAATTTGTTTGCATATAAGTGTTCACAGTGATCTCTGATTTCTTTTGATTTCTACTGAGTCTGTTGTGATTTTTCCTCTTTCATTTATAATCCTATTTATGTGTGTTTGCTCCCGTTTTTTCTTTGTGAGCCTGGCTAGAGTTTTGTCTATTTTGTTTATTTTTTCAAAGAACCAACTTTTGGCTTCATTGATCTTTTGGATTTTTTTAAATTTCCATTTCATTTATTTCTGCTTTGATTTTTATTATTTCCTTTCTTCTATTGGCTTTAGGGTTTTTTTGTTGTTCTTTTTCTAGCTCTTTGAGATGTGAGATTAGGTTGTTTCTTTGAGTTCTTTCTTGTTTCTTGATGTGAGCCTGTATTGCTATATATTTTCCTCTTATTACTGATTTGCTGCATCCCATACATTCTGAAAGTGGTGTCCTCCTTGTTCAACTCAAAGTATTTTTTAATTTCTTCTTTGATCTCCTCATTAGTAGTGGTCTTCCAGTAGTGTGGATTTCAATCTCCATGAAGTGGAAGGGTTCCTTGTTTTCTTTTCATGATTTATTTCTAGCTTGATGCCTTTATAATCAGAGAAGATAGTTGGAATGATTTTGATCTTCATGTAACTGCTGATGTTTGTCTTGCGGCCCAGTATGTGATCGATTCTGGAGAGTGATCCATGCACACTTGAGAAAAATGTGTACTTGGATTTTTTTTGGGTGCAGTGTCCTATAGATGTCTGTTAAGTCCATGAGTTCTATGTCTTTATTTAGGGCTCTAGTGTCTTTGTTCATTTTTTGTCTCATTGATCTTTCCATTGGTGAGAGTGGGGTGTTGAAGTCTCCCACTATGTATGTATTTTTTTTAATGTTTGTTTTCAGAGCTGATAATAACTGTCTAATATATTTTGGTGCTCCTTCATTTGGTGAGTATATGTTGATGAGTGTTATTTCTTCCTGGTGTATTGTCCCCTTTATCATAATGTAATGTCCATCTTTGTCTCTTTTTACCTTTTTTAATTTGAAGTCTATTTCATCTGATATAAGTATAGCTGTTTCTGCCTTCTTTTTTGGTCCATTTGCTTGTAGGGTTGTATTCCAACCTTTTACTTTCAGTTTATGTTTATCTTTCGTGATTAAATGAGTTTCCTGGAGACAGTAGAAGGTTGGATTTTGTTTTTTAATCCAGCCTGCTACTCTGTGTCTTTTTATTGATGAGTTTAATCCATTTACATTTAGAATTAATATTGATATGTTGGCATCTGTATTTTCGACATTGTTTGTCTTCTTTGTGATTTTATTCCTCGCTTTATTCTTTCTTCTTGTTCATTCCTCTGTTGGTTTTGGCTTTAGGACTTCTTGTAGAATTCTTTGGAGTGGGGGTTTAGTTGTAATGAATTCTACAGTCTAAGATTTTTAATAGTAGAGTTAGTGTTAGATTCACCTATGCTCTCCTCATGGTTATTTGAAAATATGCTTATAAAGTGACTAAAAGCAATAAAATTTAAGTATGATATGAAGCTAGAAACATACAAACACAAAACTATATAAATACATACATAAATTTTGCTTGTTGGTTGATTTATTAATATTTCCAGAACTAAAGTGGCTCAGAAGAATCTATAACACAGACAACAAAAATGTCTTTCCTACAAATAGTTATATCCCCAGTGTGATTTGTGGATGTCCGGTGATTGAATAATTAAGCATTGATCAAAATATACACCCATATTTCACCAAGTCCAAGTCCAAATCTAAGTACTTTAACACTAGACTTTATTCATCTTATTAGATGTGATCAACCAAAGGCTTCCACCCCACTATGTCATGACTGACTCATCTATCACTGTCACTGAGATGAACCATCAATTTTAAGATGCACACCAATTTCAGGAAGTAAAGCTGTGAGAAAATATGAGTTTCTCAGAATCAGTGGCATAAGGTGAAGGCAACTTTAATAAATTTGCCAAGTTTGTAGTTCTTTACAGTCTGTAATGTACTCTCACACACGTTATCTCTTATTCTCTTGCCGAACAACCCCTTCAAGAGGCAGGGAGTCTGGAATAAGTGAGAAAGCACAAACTATGTTGTGAGACCACACCATTGCTTGTCAGCAGAATGATTTTGAGCAAGTTCTTTAACCTCTCTGGAACTCAGTATCCTCTTCTGTGAAGTAGGATATTTACACCTTCCTCAGTACAAATTTGAGAATTCTATTTTTTAATTATATAAAAGAGCTTAATAAACTACACTCAATAAAGTATTAGATATTAAGGTTAAGATGAAAGTTTATTATTAATCCCATTTCAGAGATGAAAAACAAAAGATCATAAAGAGGAAGCCAACTGTCCCAGGCACAACAGGCAGAGCCTGGCACAGTGCCTTTGAGGACTCAGGTCTCAGCACTCCTGAATCTCGATGTTGGGTGCCCATTTGGTCTTCAGCATTTGCTGTATCAGGGTAAGAATCTACTCTCTTCTTGCATACATTCCCTTAGTCTGAGGATTTGGGATGCCATGCAAATAAGGACAGTGACCAGGAGAATCTGTGACTCTGGCAAAAACAAGTTATTTGTTCATTCAAATGCGATAACACAAGCAAAGTATGTATGGCCTAATGACCTGTGGAAATCAGATGTAAAGTTGATAATAATTCCCAAGGCTATTAGGGAGAGTTCTTAATCATTCTAGAGGTTTAAACTGCAACACCCTATCAAATATGGTTAATCATCACTTACTCTCATTGAATATAAACACTGGAAAGAGCATTACAGTTATATGAACCACCAAGGAGGCAAAGTAATGTGTCCAGATTCACAATGCCGCCTTCAGAGATGATTATTTTTTAAGTGTTCATATTCATTTTAGCTAAGATATTTTCATTAATTATGGAGACAATCCACATAACAATACGTGTGTCCAGTACTAGGTTGGAGCCAACTTGCAACAGCAAGTGAATGACTATTTTAAGCATCTCTTCCCTAACCCTGCACCCATGGTGTCAACTTGGTAGCTTGAAATCTGTAGTGAAAAGGTACTGATAGCAAAAAAGTGGCAAAATCCTCTCTTTCTTGCCTCCTTGATCCAGAGCTAGCTCAGCCAACACAACATCAGGTAAAAGGGACCCTACTCAGTAGAAACTAAATAGAGCAAAGGTTGAAACCCAATCATACCTTTGTTCACACTTCATTGAGTTTTTTTCCTCCACCTCCTACTAATCAAAGAGCCTCTAGATCTAGAACTTTCTATGTAGAAGGGAATATTCAATTCATTTAATTACTGTTCATTGAAACCTACCAATTACCTTTCAGCAAGTCAGGGGTAGAGATACAGAGATCCACGACCAGGAAAGAGAGTGCCCGACTGGCATAGAACAGACAGGCCACTGAAATTGTTGGATTTCAGGGCACCTGATTACTGGAGACTAAAGAGAAAAAACCTGGGGTTTGGTAGACAACTGTTCAAGGGATCAGAAATATGTATTAGATCCATGCAAAATATAGGTTGACCTTGGAAACAAAAAAAGGAACTCATGGCCCTTTAAAAAATAGTATTTCCAAGGAATCCAATTTGGTACTGCAGTCTGATCCTATCTTGCTTCAATATGATTCCAGGTGTTTTGGCAGCTAATGATTAGACACACTGACATGCTGAAGCTACTCATAAAAGTCAAGCTCGATGCATACCAACCTTTTTGAGTTTCTTTATCGTCACCTGCAGGTCTCCTACTTCTGCCTCATACTGACGTCTGAGATCACTGAGGGCTTCCTCAGCTTTGCGTTTTTCCTAAAAGATTAAAAAAAAAAAAGATTGTGTTGCTCTACCTAGGCTCTACAAAATCATGTAGATAAGAAACACTATGACTAATTGAGAATGATACTAAGTCTTCTACACAGGGAAGGAGCAAAGGGATGGTGGAAATAACCAAATAATTAGATATACAGAACTTCTGAGTAAAACCACCAAGTGAAACCTGCATACTCACATCACGTGGAGCTATGCTGTGATAGAGGATGGCAGCGCACTGATGAACTAGTCTATTCATTATTGCTCCTCTCCCATTCACTGGCTAGCACACGTGGACTTCTTTACTGAACTTGTGGCTACTTGAAATTATCCCTTTATTTACATGAATAGGTGTTTGTTTATTTTTTATATTTTTTTATATTTATTTCCTTACATCATTTTCATTTTTGAGAGCATTTTATTTCTCCCCTCAGGCGGAGTCCCGTAGTTGTCCCACCACCATGCTCCATCACCACTGTCCCTGTGCTCCTTCCTCCTCTCTTTTGGCCCCATCCTTCCCCTGCTGTATCTCTTTCTCTCTCTCTCTCTCCTTATTCTACCCACGACAAAAGCCACCACCTCAGAAGTGCCTTTATTGAGAGTCGCTGTGGGAACCTGGGCTTCTGCACCTACAGGTACCCCAGGGTCCATGCATAACAGGTGCCCCATAAGGATCTATCAAGGAATGGTTTAATCCCACACACTCACATCTTTCCTCGTGTTGTGTTCCGCAGCCTGAATCCTCTGATCCATTTCCTCTTCCATCTCACTCAACTGCATGGCTGTATTGTCGTGGGCCCTGAAATTCAGGAGGATGCAGACCTGTTCATTATACTCTTAGATGTGTAATATGAGTGAAGAGAAACTTCCACTTCATCTACTTCAAGTCCTCTATTTTACAGATGAGGAGAAACACACCATTTAAAATAATATTCCCGTTTCCACATAATCAAATAGATGGGAAATTTGACCATTTGAGTATAAATTGATATTAAAACTAGATATTAAATAAATAGAAAAATTAGATTAAGTGCTATTAAACGAAGTGGTGGCAAAGAACAGATAAAGATATCAAATTGCTGGAAGGCTCTCAATAAATTCCAGAGTTACAACCCTGGACCCAAAGACTCCATGGTACAGAGATGGTTGGATACAATTTTGAAATTTTACTGTATGAAACAAAGTGTGATATGCTGTCGTCCGTATTTAAAAAAAGAAGGGACCTCAATAATTATTTCCTATCAGCCCATGAAGTAATTATTTCTTATTTATTTCTTATCATCCCATGAAGCTCTAAAATATAGATATGGTTACCCTTTAGAAAAATTCTTTCTTTCATTAACACAATCAATAAATCATATCTCTATAAAGACCAACCATACCGATTTGTCAAAAAGTTAGAAATGGAACAATTTTGTGGAGAAGAGGCCAGGAGAGTTTTATCTATCAAATGTCTAGTAAGCAGATATCTGCCACTTTCCAATGGCTGAGGCTTCAGGTTAGACCTAAAAATTACTTTTTTGTTCCCTCTCTCAGATAACATATGTTCAATTATCTAAATTTTCACACGCACATATCCGGCCTTCTCAACTGGATTATAACTGACCTGAAGCAGCCACCATGAGATTTAGAGTCAATTCATATGCACCAGTGACATGCTATTAATAAAAAGTACCTGGAGAGTAGCCCTCCGGCCTTCCTGTGTGATGAATTCCGACACCATCCTACTGCTTTCAGCTTACTTTCTCACTCACAACCAATCTGTACATTAGTTTAATTTCCACAAAAAACTCCAAACAAGCTTGTGGGGGTGGGAGGGTTGGAGGTAAGAGACTGAGTAATTTACTACTGTTTTCTGCTCTTGCTTACCTCCTCCTCACCGTACAAGATGCCAAGGTTATGTTAATCAAGTTCAGAAAGTCAGCTAGTTCTAGTTTGTTTATAAATCCCTGCTGTTTAAAGTCTAGGAATTATGGATCTCCACAGCAATTTTTTTTTTTTTTTAGTGAATGTTGTGACTGCAATAACTAAGTCACATATCCTTTGTTATGACCATTTGTTCCCCAGTTTTTCCTTCTAACCATCTGGTCCCAAGCATTTGGGCACCTGGGACTGTTCCTGGTGTGCTCTTTCAGCCTTTCTCACTTCTAGCATCTCTTTTTTGAAGGGCGGGAGGAAGTAAATCAGCATCATCTACATCACACAATGTTTGTCCCAGTAATTCCTAAATCCTAGTAAAATGCTGCATTGGGAAGGCCCCTCATAACCTAGTCAAGGAACTTACCCAGATAGTGGGAACCCACTCTTCAGGTCCAAGTACAGAAAGATAGATTAAGACCCTTCCCCAACCAAAAAGAGAAGTGAGGATGGATGGTCCTTGGTTAAGAGTGTAGGGAATGTTCACAAGTAGCATTTTAATTACTCAGTGAGGTCTCTGACACTGGACGAGAAGAAAAGCATCTACACAGCTTAATGTAATCGGACCTGCTCCCTCCACCGCGGTGGGGCAGCCTAGCTGGTGATGAGAACATACAAAATGCCAGTCTCTTTTATCATTTGTGGGGTTTACATGCTACTACACTATGAGGTTATATATGAATGTGTGTGTGCCCCACATATCTCTGTGTGGGTCTTTGTTCTTGTGTGTGTGCATGAGAGTTTGTGTGTTTTAAAAGATATTCACTGGACATTACGAATACTCAATATGTGTGTTTGCTAGTTACTCCCCACAGGAGACCAACTCTGGGATTCTGATCCACAGTCTACAGTGCTTGACAGAATTTGGAGTTCTGAAGACCCCCTATACCCTATTGAAAGCCTCTAGGAGGCAGAAGGGAAAAATCAGTCCGAAAGTGAAAATGTTCATAAGAAATTTCCTATGGATAATTCAAATTTTGCATGAATCTCAGTCTGTTTAAAAAAAAAAGACCTATTTAGCACCCACATTTTAAAAGATTTTCTCTTTTCGCATTTTAATTACATTCAATTACTCCAAAGGGTCAGCTAGATAGTTTCATCATATTGAGAGAAAGAATAAAGACACAGAGGAGCATCCCAGTGCAGAGAGAGGGCCTCTGATGTAACAGGCTGTTTATAAGTTCTGGACAGAGGCCAGCACGGGTGTGGACTGGGGTCTGCTGATGGAGCTTGCAGCAGTGAGAAGCACCGTGGGGCAGACCCACCAGGAGCTGTGGCAAACAAAATTCACTCTTTTCTGATGCATGTCAAGGAGTGTGTTGCTTCCAGGGAACAAGGATTACAACACATAAAAATTCTTTTACACTGGATTGCTATTAAAACCAGTAAGATATCCTATGTAAGCCAGCTATGGCTTACGTTAACTGTCCTTTGATAGTAAGGGTTTAGCAGCTGTTAGGCTTTTAGTGCAGGCTGGGTGGGGAGAGCTAGAGAGGAAAAGAGACTCTGTTGGAACCCATCACGTGGGGGCCATGAGCACCTATTAAGTCTCAACACCCTGAAGATGTGATGATCTACAGCCTCACTGTCCAGATGCAGGCTCTGAGACTCAGGAAGATTAAGTAACCTGCCCAAAGTAACACTTTTCAGCAATAAGGCCCAGCCTTAAATGAAGTCTGCCTGCCTCTATGAAAAGCTCCTGTTTACTTCAAGTGGCTGGATATAAGCTAACAAATCTCTGTGAACTGTCCTGTATGGAATCAGTAGCCTTGAAGAATTTCTGACAGGATGACAGTGACCTACTGAGGGCTGGTGGCTGGCTCTATGAAGACATGCCTGTCATAACCGCCCTCATGCTGGCTTAATTCAGAGGTTCCAGAGTCCTGAGCTTCAGGAAGTCCTCCCACATCATAACATAACAATGCAGTTCAGTCCCTGCGCGGCCTGGGTGGTGGGGCCAGCAAAAGAACCGCATGTGCCACCCAGGGAGGAAGGGCCTCAGTACCTCTTCACGGCAATGGCCAGGCTTTCCATCTCTGCGCTCTGGAATTTGATCTCACGGATAAAGTTCTTGATAACATGTTCATAAGGCTGGATTAGTCTTGGCTCCACAAGGTTGATGTTTTGATACAAAGTACTAACTTGCTCTTTCCTGCAAAAAATACAAATATATATATATTTAAAAAAAAAATAGATTTGAGTTCAATTTAACCAAGTAAAAAATACAAAGGCAAATTTTCAAATTTTCTTTCTTGAGGAAAGAGCCACATAAAAAAGACACAGGAAGGAAAAAGCAGTAACAACAGCATGACCTAGACCTAGACATGCCGCTGCATTATTCTCCATAATTATTTCTACAATGGAACAGCAACTTTATATTTTTCCAATTTTATTGCTATATGGTTGGCAAATAAACATTGTGTGCATTTAGGATGTACATGTGGTTTTTTAAGATGAGCAATTTGATGATTTAATAATATTAGAAGATGGGGAGCCTATCAGGGCAACAGAAATGCACACAAACACTTGGGCAGCAATAGCAAACAGATACAGTGCCTAAGTCAAAGAGTGGTTGAACGGCAGAGAAGGGAATGGATTCAGCCGGCCGGATGCTGAGAACACATGCCCCACCTGACAGCGCAGTGCATCCCCTCTGTGCTCAACCTCTGAACCTTCCCAGAAGGAACAGAACTCAAAATCAATCCACAGAACTATGAAATGCTGCAAAATGTGAGGTATATGTTAATCCAGAAGCTTAGTTCAGCACAGCCCCCGGTGTGTGCCATATAGCTATGAACTCTCATAAATGAACTGCTCACTATGTGCACAGGCCAATTATAATTCAAAACAGCTGCTCAAGTAAAATATTATTATTAAACCTGCAGGAGTAAGTCACTTTATCAGAAGATGTAAGACACAGAAAGCTGCCATCATCCCTCCTATGAGAGCTAAGAACAATACTGGTTGAATTACTGAGTCATATTTGTATAAGAATAATAAAAGTCTTGACCCTTAGACTGTGAGTTATCATTTCAGTGCACTAAAGGATCATTAACTTCTCTGACTATCGTCACTGACCACTAGCAGGATACAAATCATGAAAAACTTTCTAATTAATAGAAACTTGCCTATCAGGCATGGTCATAATCTCCTGATTCTTTGTCTATGGGCTAACTGCTCAGCAATCAAACGTTCAGAAGTGGATGGTTCAGTAGATCCCTTACTTTTGGGAATCCCTAAAATGAGAAACAATGATTGCAAATTCTCTTGGGTCCTCTGCTGGTTCTGGCATTATAGAGAATTTCAGAAATTGTTTCAAGTGATGTGTACAAATAGATTAACTATACAGAATGTCTACACTAGCAGAAAATAAGTTGTGGTTAACGGTCTTGCCACAGTCCACCTAAACCTGCCCCTTTGCTACCTTTATTATCAGCACACAGGAAGAACTGGCTGCCCTGAACCCATCAGCTCGACAGGAGCAGAGGGACTGTTTCCCACCAGTGGGTTAGAAGGAGAAGTTGCACATTTGCTATTTCCATACCTGATCCCTAAAAGCCATTGTAATACAGCTGGTTCTCTTTCTCGTTCACATACTCTCTCCTTCTGTCCATTTCATCCCCTCTTTTCCTTCTCTCGTTCTTCCCTCTCCCACGCCACCTTCCTCATCTGCACAGCTGAACTGAGGTGGTCTAATGTGTCAAAGCCACGTGATGAAGTATGTTTGGGTCCTTGCATGATCACAGCAAGGGAAACTGCTCCAGGGGGCTCCCTGGCCACATGGCTCTGAACACAAAAGAAGGAATACACAATGGAATATTACTCAGCAATCAAAAAAGATAAACTCATGCAATTTGCAGCAACATGGATGGAGCTGGAAGGGATCATGTTCAGCGAAATAAGCCAGAAAGAAAAAGAAAAATACCGGATGGTCTCACTCATAGCAGGAATTTAGAAAACCTAAATAAGGGACAAGGAAAAAGACTAATTATAATAAAGTAAAATACAACAAGCAACTATAAACCAGAGACACACTATGGGGCGTGGGGGAGAAGGGAATAGGATCAAAACAATGGGGTGGGAATTGTATGGGGACTATAACCAAGATGAAAATGCATACATTGTGCAAAAATGAAAAATGTTGTAAAAAATATATAAAATTAAAAAATTTACAAAAAAAGAAAAAATAAGGTCATATTTTGTAAAGACAGTAAGACTTGGAAGTTCTGTGCTACAATCAGCTGGAGCTTAGAAAATTGGCATTCTAGTTTCCTGTGATTTTCTTTTTATCATCTTCTTCCAGGTTAAATTATGTCCTTACCTCCTTCCTTGATAGCTTCATATTATCTAAGTAACGAAACTTCTAAGATCAGGGTAAGTCTTTACCACCACCACCCACTCTATTTCAAGGGAAGGAATGATTCTGAAGCATTCGCCCAGTGAAGCCGATATTTATTAAGCACCTTACACATGCAGCCCAGGCAGTGATGCATAATTTACATGTATGGCTCATTTAACCCCCATGACAAATCCATGAAGAATTATTGCTGGTACCCTACTAACCAAGAACAAACTGGGGGAGACAGATAAGCATCATCCTGGTGGCACAGCTGGACTCTAACTCAGCCCAGGACCTCCGAGCCCAGCTGCCCAAGCAAAAAATTGCTCCTTAGGCCAAAGTACCGCCCTGAACTGACTCTCAGGACTTGCAAGTGTTTGGCTTCATTTAAAAGAAAATTTGATGCACCAAAATATCTTTTTAAAATTATTTCAAAGGATGCTATGAATTATTTATATGGGGCCTGTTCACATAATAAAAACAAACAAAAACTCCTTTGAAGAATGAAGGCATGACTAAGATTAAAATAAGATAAATTAAAATTTGCCTCAGCTAAAGCTACTCAGGGAATGTGCACACAGGGCCACATTCCTCTGTCCCAACCTGGCCGCCTCTGGCCAGGTGCCTGTTAGGTCCGTATCTGTGTAACCTGAGAGCCCTGTGGATTATGCCCAGAGACTGCAACATAATGCACTTGGCCATTTCCACACCTGATGGTACAAAACAAAAAAGTACTTTATCATAACAAGAGCTAATGCCCGGTCCCTCTCGTAGGATTTAAAACTGTGTCCTGTAATAGGCAGCGAAACACCTGTGGATGTTTTATAGCTCAGTGGACTTGTTGCCAGCACAAGTTTTTGTTCTGCTCCTCAGGGTCCAGGAATTACCAGCCTCCCGCTGCCTTGGTGCTGACGTCAGAGGTTAAACAAGCAGTGTTCGCACAATGCTCCACACAGGCCTCTGTTTTCTTCTGGGCCTCCCTGACCCAGCATGGCACATCAATGCCAAGGAGGCCCCATGGTAACAAGGCTCAATCATCCCTCATTCAGTAAGTCCAGGGCCTGCTCTAAGGTATTGAAACTTGTGTTCACAAATACACAAGTTGTTTACAGGGGTGCACGACAAATACCAGGTAAAAGATTAAGAGTGAAATCATATGGTTAGTCAGCCAAGGCAAAAAACTCTCTCTGCTCCCATGTTGAAAGAGTGACTAACATTCAGAATAATCCAATTTATGTATGCCTAAAGAAAAGATATCAAATGAAACACAATCAGAGAAAAATGCACCCTGAATTATCAACCAGTTTTAGATGTTTAAAATCGGAGCCTATTCATCATGTTTGACAAATTACAAGGTGATTTACATGGTAATGGTTAATTACTGATGAAAAATTCACAAATTAAAATTCTAAAATGATTCCTGGGAAAGAAGCATTTTAAACTGCAAGCATTCCCATTGGAGCTAAGAGGGATATTATGTGAACTTAAAAGGAAAAAAAACAGGTATAAGTAAGATGTATAAGGGCCTCCCCTGGTGGCGCAGGCGGTTGAGCACCGTGCTGTGAAGCTGTCCGCAGCCTCTGCAGCACCGGTTTGATCCCGGCCTGCCAGCGAGGGTCCCACATGGCGAGGCAGACCTCTCCTGTCTCGCCCGGTGCTCTCCTTAGCAGTGTATTTCATCAGTCTGCCTGTTCTGTTCCCCGCTCTGTCTCTGGTGAATCCTCTCACCCTCCCACGCATCTGGCCTGTACCCCGGTTCTTGTATAAAATAAATAAATAAATCTTTAAAAAAAAAAAAAAAAAAGTAAGATGTATAAAAATTTCCAAGCTCACACATTTCATAAGACTAACATTTTACTTGGAAGAGTACACACAGGCACCTATGCTTCTGTATTATAAATGCAATACAGCCTGTATTTAGAATTCCTGGACACCTCTGGGAGCAGCAAGACAGACAGCACCCTTCTACCAAGCTCAACAAGAAGACAAACCAATTTTAAAAATTGGTCAAAAAACCTTAATAGACACCTCACCAAAGATATACAGATAATAGATAAGCATATAAAAAGATGCTCTATGTCATTGTTCACCAGGGAAATGCAAATTAAAATAACAAACAGAAAACATCACACACCTATTACAATGGTAAAAATCTAGAACTCTGAAAACACCAAACACCGGTGATGGTATAGAGATTATCATCCATTGCTGGTGGAAATGCAAAATGACACCATCACTTTGGAATACAGTCAGTAGGTTCTTAAAAAAATAAACATTGGGTTGGTTGTTGGAAAAGTCATGACGCATTTTTTATGTTTTCTAAAAAATGCGTCATGACTTTTCCAACAACCCAATATATTCATTATATTCTACCATACAATCCAGCAATCATGCTCCTTGGTATTTATCCAAAGAAGTTAGAAATTTATGTCTGGACAAAACCCTCACATGGATTTTTATAGAAGCTTTTCTTCACAAGTGTTTTCACTGGGAAGCAATCAAGAAGTCCTTCAGTAGGTAGATAAACAGTGGCTCACCCAGACAAGGAAATATTATTGCACAATAAAAAGAAATGAGCAATCAAGCCATGGAATGACATATTACTAAGTGAAAGCCAATCTGAAAAGTACATATTGTATGAGCACAAACATATACATTCTGGAAAAGGTAACCTTCATGAAAAATTCAGCATTTTCCAGGAGTTGGAGGGGGCAAGAGAAGGAAGAACAGGTAGAGCACAGAGGATTTTCAGGGCAGTGAAAATGATACTATAACGATGGGTACAGGGCATTAAACAATGGTCCAAATGCACA